AACACCCCCCCACCCCCACCCCCACCCCCCAAGGCCATGATCCTAGGGGAAACACTGAACATAACAGCCTTTTTTTTTGTTACTTTTACTGTTTACTGTCTGTTCATGTTACATGTTTGGCTGTTAACTTTTACACAGTTGATATAAAATATTTTACAAAAGTATTTGGTTCAGAATTTTTTTTTCTAGATCTTCCTCTTTTAAAATTGGGTGTGTCTTATGTGCCGGTGCGTCTTATGAGCCGAAAAATACGGTACTTAACAAAGAAATCTCTTTCCATGGAAGAAAAATGTCAAAGTCTGAAAAAGAAAATAATTTCTTTACACAAAAAAGGTGAGGTCTACAAGAAGATTTCAAAGCTTTACATATCAGTCAAAAAGAAAGATTGAAGTTCAACCATCTTGTAGAGACATCCAGGTTGTCCAAGGACGTTAACATCTCGACGGGAGCTTCTGATGAAAAAGTACATCTATATTCTGCCATGCTGGAAAAGAAGTGAACTACTGGGAATCTAGACTCTTGGGTGATGAGACAAAGATCTCTGTTTCTGGAACTAATGGTTTGAAAAGGTGTCATAAAGGTGAGGATTTGAAGAAAAAAAAGCCTGGTGCCTACAGTGAAACATGGTGGTGGCTGTGTCCTTATGTGGGGCTGCTGATGTTGGGGAACTGCATTTCATTGATGGCATCATGAACTCAACAATGTTCTGCTCGATACTGAAGGAGAGGATGCTGCATCACTTTTCCTACACGATAATGATCCCAAACACACGTCTGAAGCTCCTGCTGCATTTCTGAAGAAGATCAAGGTGAAGGTGATCAAACATCTCCTGATCTGAACCCGAAGGAATCCTGAAGCATCGCTCTCCATCCAGCATCCAGCTCTAAAAGAGGTTATTCTTGAAGAATAAAGAAAGACAGATGCTGCAATCTGTTGCCAATAAATGTTAACGTAGAAGTGTTCATTGAGCTTCTGATTAAATTCATACTTTTAAAAGGAGATGTATATAGTTGCTTAATAAATGCATCATTTCAATTGTATGCGTAGTATTCTTTAGTTAGCCTTTCATTGACAGGGTTAATAAAAAGTATGACTATATTAACAAGTTTCAGGAGGAGCCCATCATATAATTAAGCTGTATCTCATTCTCACTAATCAACGGTGCTAGCAGTGACGGACCCAAAGTGTTTGGCACCGAATACCCTATGATATTTGGCTATTAAGTGATAACTTGTTATCGAGGATGAGGGTTATATGAATGCTGCCAAAAGACATAAAACCAAAGGCTCTGTGGTAGGTTTACTAAATGACCGAATGGTGCCACTGCTCTCAGTGTGTTGAAGTCCATGTGTTCTCTCACGATTCTCAATTTGACAACTTCTGGGTCCATTATTCATCTAAAATATGAACAGCTGCAATACCTCAGTCAACACTCAGTGTTTAGATCCAGCACAAAAACATTCCAGATCAAAAAAAGTCAAATGATCTGAAGACATCCACCATCTATTCAGACATCTCAATCTGTATCCCTCCAGTTCTTTCTTTCTTTCCTCTTTGTCCAGACTCCACGGTGTAAAGATCACACAAAGGAAAGCAGAGAACCAGATAAAAATGGCAAAGATGATTATGATGAATGAGCTTAACAAACGGGCCAACCTATTAATAGAACAACTGGAGGTAATTACTTTTCTTCTCTTTTTCCTCATTTTCTTTCTGTTCTGGTTCACACTGGTTCACACAGCTGACCTCGAAGGTATTGCTGAAGAATCTAGAGGAACAGAACTGCCTTGTTGTAACGTGACCAAACAGATGGGCATCTTTAAAAAGTGTTTTTGTGGTTGCTTTCCGGTGTAGAGCATCTCAAGTGAGTTCCGCCAACGCCTGGAGGACCAGCTGCAGGGGGCCATCGAGCTGTGCAGCCAGCTGGAGCATGTGCAAAACTTTATTACATGGGCTACAGCTCACCACAGACGAAATCCATTGCTTTTCAGCAAAGAACTGGTACCATCCTTTCCGTTGTTTCCGTTTATTCCTATACCACTGTCAAACGTTTCTGCTGCTACTTCAACTCTTGTCTTGTGAACTAAAGGTTGAAAGACTGGCACCACTTTTTTGTGCACAGTATGGAATGGTTTGGTTGAGTACGGTGTGGTTCAGTATGGTTTGCTTCTAATCCAAGAAGAGGAACGTCTACCTGCTCATTAGAGATGTTTTAGGGCTCGAGCATCAAATGTTTGTAGAACCTTATTGAAATTGCTCAGAGTGTTATTGTTTCGTGGGTTTGTGGGATTTCCAAACTGGAAACTGGTGAAAATTTACATCTGGCTTTGGTTCGGAGAGTGGGTTTGGCAAAAAGGCTCTTTAGCACCCCCTAAAGTATCAGCTTATAGTGCGAATGAAATTTGGCATGCATTTGTTCGAGGCTCACCGATGACCTTCCTGGAAGGAGTTTCCTTGTTCTCCCTGTGCTTGTGTGGGTTTCCTCTGGGTACTTCGGTTACCCCCACAATCCCAAAAACATGCGGCAGGTTAATCGAATAATCCCTTAGGTGTGAGTGTGTGTTGGCCTGCAATGGACTGGCAATCTGTCCAGGGTGTACCCCCACATCTCGCATAATGTTTGCTGGCACCAGCAGACCCTGTGACCCCAAGGGGGAATAAGCACTATAGAAAATGATCGAATGAATAATTAAAACCAGAATTTTAAATACTATTATCACCAGGTGGCAGGTTATTGTTTCGAACATCTTTTTTCTCCCACGTCAAAATTGCCCTATCAATTTCACGTGGTCTGTTTCATGTGGCCACCTTGTGGCGCCATAATTGATAATGTAGGTTGCTAGATTGATGTGTTCAGGAATGGTATCTTAACACACATGGCATATCTCATCCTTATTAGACATTTTAATAGCAGTAAAAAACACCAGAAAATTGAATATTCTACCTTGCCACAAGGTGGCATTATAACTGGGTTGTGCTATAACTGATATATAACTGATATATTCTACCTTGTCACTAGGTGGCACTGTATCTGCGTTTTTTTTTTTTTGTGCATTTCGTGCGTTATTCTGACCAATTCCTTTTGGTGCTCAAGCCCTAATAACAATCATACCTGGATCTTTACACAAAGGGCAAAACCAGAATACTAACAGACATAAACTCAAAAACCCATAACCAGCACAAAAAAGAGGAATATAAAGAGACAGAAATCAGCAAACTAAATGAGGCACAGGTGCACACTAATTAGGAACGAGACAGAGTGAAGAGAGAAACATGATGGGAGGGGCAAGAGACATGAGGAGAAAGGCATAAAAATGTGAAACCCATGACAGTATTTTGCTGTTTTATTTTTATCTGTAAGAAAATGGTGCCAAACTATCAGTACAAAGGACCGAACACAAGACAAAAATACTTCGAACCTTACTGTACCATACCCTACTGTGCCCTTTGTGGGCATCCGTTCTACAAATCTGGTTCTCAGTAATTATGAGATGCTCTCTGTTTTTCATGTCTCAGATTGCTCTTCAGATGCAGCAATTACTGGAGCCCCTGATGCTCTCTGAACATTTGACTCCTCTGAAAATCAAGTTTAACTGGGATGCCAGCTTCTGGACCAAGCAGATGTCCACTTTAGGTGAGCAGCTATTCAACTACTGGTCATTGATCTTAATGCCAAAAATATCACTAGATGCATTACCATTTTCCTATTTTAATGCAGAGTTTGGAATATGGCAAAAAAACCTTTAGATTTACATAAATTTATGCAAGATTTACATAAATTTATGCAAGATTTACATAAATTTTGAAAAAGAGCAGAAAAAAATGTAGGATAAAGTTTTTAATAAATATTTTTTTTTTAAATTATATCAAGCATTGGAACAAAAAGCTTTTAAAGGAATTTTTGGAGCAAATTGTAAAGTAGTAAAAAACACCCCGCCTGCACCCGCCCGTGTCTACTGTAGGAGGGATCAGTTTAAAAACACTGGAAACGTAGTAAACAAGTCTGGACGAGGGCGCTCCATGCACCATGATGCTAAGAGAAATAAAACATTCTCCAAAGCTCACTGTTAACGGATCTTGGCATCTTGGGGTCACAAAGTCTCCAAAGCAACGGCATCAGACGCCATCTACATACCGACATGCTCTTTGGGAGGCGAGCAAGAAAAAATCCTTTCTCAATTACAATCAGAAACGCAAAAGGAGTTTGCCAAGTGCTACTTGGGCTTCAACTGGCACCATGCTCTTTGCCCAGATGAGAGCTTTGGCAACAAACACTCACTCAAGGCAGGTATAGCGGAACACAAAAGATGAATCTGCAGAACAGAATCTGCAGAACAATGCCCACTGTGAAGTATGAGGGAGGGTCGGTGATGCTGTGTGGCTGTTTCTCTTCCAGAGGCCTTGGAACCTTGTTTTAACATTTTAAAGCTTGTGGCCTCTGCCCGACAGCTGGCCAAATCTACACAGAAATGTTTCACCACACACAAAATCAATCTCCTCCAATGGCCATCTTCGTCGCCAGACCTCAACCCAGTTGAAAAGCTGTGGAGTGAGCTGAGGAGGAGAGTGCAGAGGAGAGGAGAGAGTGCAGAGAATGAAGATCCCTCTTTCTGTGTTCTCGAATCTCGTGAAACATTACCGGAGAAGATTAGCTGCTGTTTTGTTGGCAAAAGGGGGCTTTACAAAGTTTTACTTAACGTACAATGATGTCAAAAAGTACTTTGGAATTGGACTATGTCAAGGATTTAAGAGAAGCGAGCATGTTGAAAAGTAAATACAACTTTGGACTAGTGGTGGCGCTAAAGAGTTCACATTACTGGCCTACTGTGTCATTGTGCCCAATTTCATTATTTTCCTATGAGCGGTTCAAAGGGTTAGAGTTCCTCCATTGAGTAGAGGAAACGAAACTAACACAATTGGTGCATGCACAACTTCATTTACATAAATGTATTTGACACTTTTATCCATTTGAATGAATGAACACCTTTTATGTCAGTTCCTGTTTTCCCTGGGATTTGAACCCACAATCTTTGCGTTGTTAGCCCAACGCTCTACCAGCTTAGCCACAGGAAATCTGTTTGACCCCTAATGAAACATATTTTGCAATACAATCACTTAAACGAATCTTCTTGCTTTAGGTCAACTTGTTGTAGAAGGTGGAAGTTCTTCATACTCTGAGGTTGTGGGTCACTCTACTATCCTACGCCCCCAGCCTGTCTCATGTATTGCAATGGCACCTCTGTGCCATGGGGTGCAGGAACCAAGTTGTGCCTATCGTAGCATCTGTCAGCCTTCGCTTTGCTGCCTTCACTGCAGAACTACTCAGACTGTCCCGCTGCAGAATTACCCTTCCCAGTGCCCTCAGGCAGCCCAACGGAGCTCCCCACCGATTCTACACAGCTGCTGTATTGGAGAAACCTCTGTTCCTCTGCATCCAGCTGGAGTTCAGCCTCCACCACAGTCCAACTTTCAAGCCGGGTCTGATACCACCTCTCAGCATAGAACCGACCTCGACCCGCATGGAGCCATCTCTCAGCCTGAATGTGAGCTTAGAACCATTTCTCACTTCGGATCGGACTGCATCCAAGTGGGCACAAGCTCTCAGTCTGGACCTGATCACTATCAACATGGATCTGTTCCTCCCGGTAACCTCTCTTCTTCACCTCAGCTTGTCAGTCTCCCGAAGCCCGAGTTGCTCCAGAGTGTCACAAATGGGAATCAGACTTTGAACAGAGGAGGGCAAAAGCAAAAGCCCTCTGCGGGCTCAGAGATGTCAACAGATGGAGAGATGCTGTTGACCCATAAACAGACTCAATTGCAGACAACCACAGAACCCAGCCACCCGGCCGTGCATGAACTGCAGCCTATCTGTGCTCACGTCGATGATGACACGGTGAGTTTCATTCATCTGTTACTGCGTATCTGTTCTTTGCAAAGCAATAGCTTTGATCACAGTGCACTCAATGCTCACCACAAAACTCACACTTGGGGTTCTTAGGTGTGTGCAAAGGTGCATGCCAACCACAGAGATGACTGGTTCACACCACAACTCTATGCAGATGAACAGAGCTGCAATGCTAGACAATGGGTTTAGTGGAGTTTGGTAGCTGATCTGTTTTTTAGGGTTTTTTTAAAATGAAGAAATGAATGGAAAGTAAAAGTACTTCATGTGAAAAAATAGGTCGCCTTTTTTGTCTTTCTGACATCTATGCAGCAATTTGAATTGATCTGTTGTGCAACATTAGAAACATTTATATCTGAGGTGTGTTGGCATCTTGTGCATCAGAGAGAATGGATGCTCTCAACAAAAGAGGAACTGTTTGTCTACTGCATATGTTTACTGTTGAATTCATGGCTTAGAGTGAATAATACAATCACTTCTTGCCAATTAGTGTGTACTCTGCTGTTTCCAACTGTTCCGAAGATGAGCACCAACTGCTGGGGCGCATACTTCCATACTTGGCTTATTTTGTTCAATTCGTTTGAACGAGAGTTGTTTTCCCCTTTAGTACGGTTCGTTTGAGCAGGTCAGAAACCAACAACCAAGGGCTGCTTGATTATTCCCTTGAAAGTGTAATTGCGATTATTAATTACGATTATCACAATTTACATTGATGTTTTAAATACCATTGTTTGAAGCAACTGAATGGCAGCATTTTACATAACAATAAAAAATACTCTTCCTGAAAAACTTTACTTTTCTCGTTGACAAAAAAAAATATGAATATAAATGAATTAATTAACATTCGATTTGTCCAAAAGAAACCCTTGTGTTTCTGTACAAAAATTAGCAAAAGATAAAGATAAAAATAATGAATGAAGCAAAATGTTGTTGAAATTAAGAGCATGAGCAGTAATAAAGCAATATTAGATCACATCAATTAGAAAAATGACACTGTATATTGAAAAAAACATTTTTGTTAGGAAAATAAAAACTGTATTACTTCCATATAACTGGGATTGAGGCGGTGACGCCCCCTGCCTGCTGCTGCTTGACTATCGTATAAACATCTTCCTTCACTATTTACAAGTGTTTTGCTATTTGAACACTTTATCGTGCCAAAAACGATGGATGAACGAGAGGAAATAAGGAAAAAAAGACGCACTTGCGCAATGTGGCCGAGTCACAGAAGAATTAGAGATATAATACTGTAAAAATACAGTACAATCTAATACTAATAAACCTGCTTATAAAGACAATGCTTATACTATTATATACAGTATTAATATAATATTTGCTCAGAAGTCTCAGTTACATCACTGCTAACAATTGCTAAGGCAATCACAGGAAATCAATCACTCATCTGTCACTGCTCTCCTACACTCCACAAACTTACCACCCCTGGCACACACGCAATGTCATCACTACCATAATAAATGTATTATTTTTTATCAAAAGGTCTGTTTCTTTGCTTTCAGAATCTGTTAAGATTTTTTCAATAGTGCGAATAGAGCTATGGCAGTTTGAAGTGCGCATCTCATTATTCTGTCGCTTCGGTGTTAAACTTTGTGATTCGTCTCTCTCAAAGTGAAGCTCTACGCAGAGTAATGAATGTCATTTTTTTTGTAATCGCGGATGAACACCAACTGCTGGGGTGGTAGGTCTTTTTGAATGCTTTCTTAACTTGCTTGTTTAGTTTGTTTTGCCTTTTAGTGCGGTTCGTTTATGCAAGTGAGAAACCAATAACCGAACGAGAAATCAGAGCAAAAGTGGTCGAGGAGGTGGTTTCGTTACAAATCCAAACAAACTCCAGAGTGATTTGTTTGTAGTGAGAACTTGATCCAAAACAACTGTTTATCGTGGCAATCCGCGGTCAAACTTGTCACATCTGAGTATCATTTGCAACATGCATCATAAGAAATTAAAGAAATTATGCAGTAAAAAATGCCCAGGGTCAAATCAAGCAGTGAAGTCTGTTCTGGGCTTCAGGCATTGTTTACTTCCCTGTGCATGTTTATTCTAACCAATCAGTCGATGAAACACGTACCATGCCATATGTGACCAATGAGTGACCCGCATGATGTCAAGAGAGGGCGCTAGGGCATCGCCCCACCGCTATCTCCATGTAATGAGCAGGAAAAAGACTTATGCAGAAAAAAAATGGAGATGGAATAAAACAAGCTGCATTCCTAAGCCTCATATACCTGCTATCAATATTCGGATTGCAATGTGCTAACTGGATCGAGCACCGAAAGTGCATTGAACCCTGATTGCTCAGAGCATTATTGTCTTGTGCCTTTCGGTGCTTTTTTGAGGGTCTAAATATGAATGCTCACTTCAGAACTGGCGAAAAGTCACGTCTGATTGGGTTTGAAAAGTGAGTGTGGCAAAATGGCTCTAAAGTGCCACCTAGCACATTTCAGCTTATGGGGATCTCCCAGTTTGTCATTAACAAACATAATTTGTTGTACACGTGTAGGGTTCTAAGACTTAATTATCAGGAAATTAGCTATTTTACAAAACGTATGTTATACTTTAACAAACTATTTGTTCATCTTCATACTCAATCAGTCTTAAGGCATTCTTAAATTTAACAGTCTTAAGGTTGTTAAATTGTGAAGTTTTTTGTCTTCTACTATGGGCAACGGCAGCCATCGAAGGTCGAAACACCAACTGATAAACAGGAAGTTAATCACTCAGTCATGCAATGCCTGATTGGTTTACCAACTGTGTCTTTTTATAAAATGAACACTCTCAGCTATAGTATCACCAGATGTCCACAGAATTATTTAAAATTGATGATGTAAATCTTTTTACCAAGCTTAACTTATGTTACGAGAATATTGGCCACAACAATAACAGAAAAAAAAATATTCCCAGCGCCATTTGGGGTTCATGACACTATTTAGTTAAATGGCCTGTATTCTTCAGTAGTTTAACAATTCTCACTTGAAAAACATCTAAATAAGGATTGGTTGTAGTGTGTAGTGCAACTGGTGGTGGCGTCAGAGGTTCTCGTCCCCTTTGATCACTGCTTTTTTAACCGATTGGTCCCAAATTTACCAACTATGTTAACAGTCCATTTTAGAATGTGAGAATGTATGAACATGTACCACCAGATGGCCACAGAATATAGGACCTTTAACATTGATAGTGTAAATCTTTGTGACAAGAGTACTGGCCAAAGTATTCAGAGATTCGAGCTGGAAGAGCTCGACCCCTTTGATCGCTGCTTGCAGCTGTAATTGTAATTAAACCTCAAAAATGAACCAAAATCCCTCAACTTTAATTCATCATACAAAGCCTAAACATTCAACTAAAATATTCAACTGATTGGCTCATCTCCCATCTAGAGGCGGGACTAATCTGTAAGTCAGTGGCTCTATTGGTATTTGATTATAAAATTGTTTCGCTTTAAATCATGGAGTCTCACAGTTTTTTTTTTATGTGTATTTAAAATATTCATTTCAAGGTTGCTGTTTAGAACTCTTCCTCCATTTCACATTGGTTGTTTATTTTCATTTCACACCTAGCTCATTTAGATCACAGTACAGAGAACATGACATGGCAGTATTAATTCTCTTTTTTCATTTAGAAAGAGGAAATTGAATCATTCCAGGCAGCCTCGTCTCTATTTATATACCTAGGACATATTTTCATCTTGACAGCTTCTGACAGCACCTCTGAAAGCAGATGGTTAGATAGAAGTGAGAAAACTTGGGCTTGTAAACAATTACGACCCTGTAATGTTAACACAAACATTCAAACAGCGAGTATTTGATTTCTCTATGTCAGTATTCTTGGAACAAACAGTAAGATTTATATCTCCTGAGGAAAATTAGTGCAAGATTTTTTTAATGCATCATCCACAGCCTATTACTGTTACGTGCTTAAGGAGAGAAGAAAAGGCACTAGGGCTCAACCACATATTTACTTAACCTGGCATTAATGAGAAGCCAGGGGAATTGAGGAGCTCGTTGTTACATTTGTCTTCTTTTCGTTGGAGAACCCACACGATTAGCTCTGAAATCTCTTAGACCTCCTACATTTTCTCACGATACACTCCCCCCACAGCTTGGTTGAGTCTGTCTTCTCTCTCAGGTGAGCATTTTTAATCCCGATGAAAGAGAAAAA